TAAGCATGGGTTCGTATTTCTCTGATCACACTGAGCACTTAATCTCAGGATATATTGATAACTATGTCTGAGGGAACGCTAGTGTCAGATCCTATCCATATTGTACATGTATTAGATGGGCTGAGAATCATGAAATTGAAATTATTTGCTTGGGTCTCATACAAATCTTAGAAAGAGAGAAGATGGTAACTGCCGAGGGCTCCCCAGAGGGGGGAAAAAACCTTACCCGTATTATTGCGAACACTGGCACTTACTCATTCGAGGATCCTTGCATTTCTCTATACCAAGCCCTATGTTAGAGGCGAGAATCCACCTTTCCTGCAGGTGCCCCCACGATGATTGTCCGAGCGTTACAAACATTTTTTCTGTCAGGTTGTGATTTTTTTTCTTTTTAAGTTGCTGATCTAAATCTCGAAAATACCCCAATCACTTTCTACTTCCCAAGACTTCCGAATCCACCTTCTAGAGCAGTGTGTCTTGACCTGGAAAAAGCCCTATGGGTCTTCAGGTAGCACTTGGCTGACGACTAACGACCTCCCTAAACGCATTAGCAAAGGTGTTTCTCCAGTAAATGGCAGCTGGGCACGTCTGACCGCCTCCAGCACCGCCAGTTTACTGCCTTGGCAGAAAGTACCCGAGACAGCTGGGGCGGGGCTGAGCAGTCTAGGTTTCTCCGCACTTCGCCGCGTGCGCCTCGCCGCGTTCCTTCCCGGGATTGGGAATCGTGGTTCCCCCACGGTAGTGGCGGCCCCAGAAATCCTACAAGGCTTTAGCTAAAGGCAACAATGACATTGCGGTGTGTCTGGGCTGGAGATGTGTTCCTATCTTCCAATTGTGAGGCACTGCACGCACGCTTTTTTCCACTTCGATTATTTGTTCACGGTGGGGGTTTGGCGGGAGTGATGCTAAAGCTTCTCCAGGCGACCTTTAAAAGCTCCACCCCTGCCATGAAGTGGACGGTTTGTACTTGACTGCGGTTAAGCCCGCCAAAAAAAAGGAGGTGGGGGGATGGCCATGGAACAGAGAGGAGACTGGGGAGAAAGACTTAACTCGTTGTAACTTTCTGTCTACGGCAGTTTTTGATACTAAGAAAAAGGGACTGACCACATTAAGTCCCCAGAACCCCAGAACGGCAGGATGAAAACTGAGGTGGGAGTTGGGGGTGGAGACCGCGGATTCTCAGAAATCCCTATGGAAGGGTGAAGAGCCTTTGGTTCTCCGGAATCTGTCCTCAAAAGGGCATCTGGGTTTGGGAACGCTGTGCCCTGGCCTTGGACGTGCGGGATGGGCGGAAAACGCTCCGACTTGTGGTTAGGCTTCGGTGAAAGGGGGTGCACTGGGATTCCGACCCGGCCTCAGCTCCCGAGTCTGCCTGGGTATTCATTCACTGAACACATATCCACCGACGACTAGCCCCGCGCCAGGCACTATTCTAGATTCCGGATGTAACAGCCCTGTCATCTTAGGTCACTTAACCCCTGGGAACGTCAGTTTCTTCCTCCGCAGCACCGCACGGTTGGACCGCTGCAAGGCCGCAGAGATCCCGTCCAGCTGTCAGATAGGACACAGGCGCGAATGGGTGTGCCCTGCGCTGACAGATGACCCCCCTACTCTCGGCGGTGGGCGGGGAGAAGGACCCGATAGGCCATTTGGCTTCGGTCACTTCTAGGCTGGCGAGATACTATTGTTCTTCATGCCTAGCGGGCAAAACAAAGTTATGGGAGGGTGCGGGAACCTAACTGATCTCAGCCCCGAGAGCCTAGTTTCCCAAACTATTACGGCAAACCTAGGCGAAATCTTTCTTCAGAAGCATATCTTTATGTATCTGACCACCGTCAGGAGCAGAACAGGCCTCTCTGCAGCAAGCGGGCTAGCATTAGGCCCCTTACCGCCCCGGGGCCAAGGGCCCGGCCCGCCGTCGGCAGACAGCTCTTGTCGCGGCCCGGGGTCCCACTCCCTCTCGGCGCTCGGAAGAGAAACCGAATCCAGCCCGCTGCAGCAGGGCTCCCTTCGTGGCGCGGCCCGCGGCCTGCACCGCCGGCCCCTGCAGAAATGAGTGCCCCGCGCCCGCCGCGGCATTCCGAGTATCGTCGGCTTGCCTGGCCCAGTTTCCACATAGCCTTTTAAGAGCTCCTGCTACCACTTCCCGGGGCGCTATTTCTAGCCCCAGCTGAAAGTGCGGTGCGGCGCGCCACGCGGGAATGCGGGGGCAGCCCGGAGGAGCTGTGCCTGGGATATCGGCGCGCACTCTCCAGCGCCAGCCGGGGCCAGTTTTATGCCGGCTCTCGGGACCCCGCGCCAGGGCCGCGACTCCCGGCATCCAGTTTGCGGGTTCAATCCCACCGACGCTACAGGTGGCGGGTAGGGCACCCCGCCTCTCTCTCCCGCCCAGGCCTCGGACCCCTTCCTCGGCGCGGGTGGAGGGGCAGCTGCCTGCTGCAAGCGGAGCCCGGCGCTCTTCCCGCCTATGGCCTCCTAATCTCACCGCCCCAGAGCCTTCCTCCAACCTCCCTGGGTGGGTTCAAAGCCTCCCGGTCCTTCTCGTTCATTCCTCGTGCTCCCTCCCCCAGTGTCCCATTCTGGAGCTCAGAACCTGCGCGCGTGACTGCGCCACCGCGAAGAATAGCCCGGGTCGCTGCGGAGCTTTAGGTGGGGGAGGCGGGGAAGGCAAGAGAGGGGTGGGAGGAGATCGAGCCCATGGAGAGGCCGTGGGTTGGGGCAAACTGATCCTCGCGGGGCTAAGCAGAAGCAGCTGCTGGTAATAGGCGCCGCCTGGGAGGGAGCGGGTTTCCCAGCCCGGGTGGCTCGCGGCTGCAGCGGGTGCACAGGCGGCCAGAGCAACCGCCGGCGGGAGTGACCCGCAACGGAGAAACGGAGATACCCGTTCTACAAGCAGGCCCGGGTGCTCATCCACCTAACCCTCCATGGGACCGAAGAGTCCCAGAGGGCTTTTCAGGTCAGCCTTCCTCAACGAGGCAGGGTAAAATGCCCCCACCCATACCCACCCTCCCCCCACCCCGCTCCCGCCCGAATTTCTCCTTTCCTTCCTCGCACCCCAAGTATGGTGCTAGATGGGCATCAATCAAAGCTTCTTAAAGAGGTGGGATGGGGCACAGCGGTTGAAGTCCCCTCGCCTCCACCCCTCACACCCAGCATCCTGGCGGAGATAGCCAAACACTTCTCATTGTTTCCGGAGGTCAAGCAGCAAGGACGCGCTTCACTTAGAAGCATCTCTGGCTGTCTTTTCCCATGTACTTCTGAGAAGTGAAGCAAGGAAATGATGCCTGCTGCAGTTTCAGAAGCTTGTATTGGACAAGTGTTCGTAAATGAAAAAATTTGGAACCTTAGGAAAATTAAAAAGCACATGGAAATCCACGACAAGCCATAACAACTGATTTTTATCTATCATTTTATATCCGTCTATTATCCATCTAAATATAAAAACCCCGTGATTTTATGTAGTTTACATAAACCACAGGTATTTGGCACTTGCTCTTGTGTTTTATTCTGATACATTCATGAATTGGCAATGAGCCTTCCAAACCGACTAAATACATATTTTAATCTTGGAAAAATAAAATTCCGCTCAACTAATTCCATTTACATTTTATGAAGTTTTTTTTTTTTAATTGGGAGATAGTTCTCTAAAATCCCCTCACCATTCAGTTAGAGTCCTAAGGCTTTCGGCCTCTGATTCCACTATTTCAGTGATATCTAGAAATAAAATCTTTGCGGTCCCTGAAGATAATCAATCTAGAATTTCTTTCTTTGGATGTTTACATCATGAAGAGTTTTCGTTACAATCTTGTTAACATGTTTTGTTTAACTCAAGACATGTTAGGAAAAACAAAACAAAACTGAACGTTCTTATGGTGGGAATATTTTTTTCTTAAATCGTGACTTAACTGAGGTGTCAGCGGTAGCACTCTGTTTTATCATCCCTTTCCGAATAAAATTTGTGTTGGATTTTACTTGTCAAATGATGCATCGCACTGAGTTTGTCTTTTGATTTTATTTACGACAATATAAACTTTTAGCAAATAGAAGGTATATTCTGAAGCAAAACAGCTTCCAGAAGTAAACTGTTTTTTCACGTATCCGCCTACCTGTTTAGCTACCCAAAACAGATCATAAAAGGATGTCTTTTCATCTTGTCTAATTCTTAAGGTTTTAAACATCTCTAAATACATGAAATATGAATGTCCCGTTTTAGGGAGCCTATGCATTATCGCATCTTGGATTTGAACAATAGAACTGTTCATAATCTTTGGAGAAATAGTGTACATTTATTTAGAAACAGTCCGGGGAACGGCATCCCTCTTTGAGGTTCTTCCGCAAAAATCCCCGCCAGCGAGCTGCTTGTACATTTATGTCCTTAGGCACGTCACTATTCAGGTCATTATCTTCCCTCTTCCACTTTTATTGGTTAAGTGCAGCTGTGAAGAACGAAAAACATATATTGGGAAAGAATAAGGGAGATTCTCGAATTCTAAAGCCGTGCCATAATTTCTAGTTTCACTTCTGTCTTCCCCACCTCCCCCACCCTCTTATCCCATTTGCAGGACCACGTGTGCGATTCTGCATCCCACAGTCTGTTCTCGAATTTCTTATATAGTTTTTTAACCCCCTCTCAAGTAGTCAAAAAAAAAAAAAAAAAGCCGAGGAGGGAAAAAGGCCTGAAATCAAATTGCAAAGCGACCAGGCAGAGCGACCGGACGCGCCTGCACACGGTACCAGCAACCCGGAGTCGCCGGGGCTTTTCCGAGAGCATCAAACTGTGCCGGCGTCCTAGGCTTGAGGAAAAAGACAAGGCTTAGGAAAGAAGCTAGAATTCCGTAGACGAAGGCGAAATCGACAAAGAAAAACCTCCTGCCCGAGGTGAATTCTGCTTAACTATCTGAATCCAGCTCACGTCGTTTCACCGTCTTTGGGCAGGCGATTCCTCCGACGTCGCCCCAGCCCCCCGTGCGCGGCACCCCAGACTGTCTCTCTCGGTCTGTCTCTCTCTCTCTCCTCAAACTTCCTAGCTCAATTTCCACATCAAATGAGTCATCCACGTTTGACCCTTGCAGCCGCATTCGCAACATTTCTTGAATGGTAAATACCTCTTTCCGAGGCAAATGGTTTGTTTGATCAGCATTTGTAGCTCACGTTTAATTTTCTACATTCTTTCACACCCCGGCGCCCAGTCTCACTCGTAATCAAATTCCACCGGCACTGAGGGCAGGTAAATGCATCGTGTGTTTAGCCTCCATCGATGTCATTGTAACTGATTGTGCCTAAGAATTCCCCGTGTGGCTGGAACGACACCCAAACCTATTGAATGAATAACTTGAGACTGCTAACAAAATTTTACATATCTTCAAAGATTAGAAATTACTACAAGTGGTCGCAATGAATGCAGTCATCCCAGGGATCATATTATACACATACACAGAAGAATAACCCCTTTTTCACTCCAACAAACATTTTGCCCCAGCTAATCCAGTAGTTTCCTTAGCTGATTGTGCCATGATTTGAGTTTTCCTTTTGAATATATAAATAAATTCTATGATGTGAAAGGAAATATGTTTCATGTTAGATTTAGGCAAATTATTGAGCTAGGCATTTATTTCAGGATCTAAAAGCAAATTAAAAAATAAAATCCAGGGACAAGGATTTCTAGAGTAAAATGGCCATTAGCTGGCAATACGCTGTGCACTCTGAAAAGTGAATAATAAAATTTATCTGTTGGGATTCCCCCCTTTCATAATCACCATAAGCATCCTGGTTTGGGGCTATGATTTAGTTCATTTATAGATTTAATATCATGTAAAGGTAATGGCTTAAACAATGCATAAAGCAGTTTTAAGTTTTATTTCTTCGAGAATTGCTTAAGCTATCAAACATTTGTTTGATAAAATGGAATACTCTAGCAAAACAAGGCAAGCAAACAAAATGTCTGGTGTTAGGAAAGAACCCACATGGAGGCAAAGAACAAAACAAAACAAAGAAAATAACAGACAAAAACAGAAACAGAAGACGTCAACCCCAATCAGCAATTCAGGTCTCTGAATATCTGACTAATATTCAAGGACACATTAGGTTTTCATTACCAAGAACAGCTCTTCAGTGCCTCTTGTTACATGTTAAGAAATAAAGACAATTACAATGTTGGAAACATAATTTTCCTCACCATAAATATTTTATGCTTATCAAACAAACAGCGGATTGTTTGCTTTCTCCTTCCCACTACTCCTTTGGCACTAATTTTGGCATTTAGATGGTACTTGGTTTGGCAGGCAAGGCAAGGCAGTTTGAAAATTATCTTTACAGCTACCTCTAGTACCATTCTTCATGCTTATTGTTGGCCAGTTGAGAGCTGATTGTTTCATCTAAATGGCCTCAGTCCACAATCTATGCTTTTATAGGGTAAACCCTTCAGGTTACCTCTTTTCAGTGAATCCATGCTTTCTTATCCTGGGCTTTCTACCCGTTTAGTTTTGTTTTTGCCTAATGACAGACTCACAAAATGGAACCAATTTTAAGAAAATGTTAATAGTAATTCACAATTATAAACCAAAAGTCAACAAAAGTACTATCAGCTATCTGCCAAAAACATGGTCAGGAAATAGCAGATGAGATTTAACCTAGATAAGCACAAGTCGTATGTCTGGGGAAATATAATCTGAAAGTCATAAACTTGAGGTCCAACTTCATACTCTTCATGAGTCAAACTCCCCAAAATTTCCGTTCTGCTGGCCATTAGAGTTTACTTATAGAGGATGCAGTTCTGTTCTAAACTATGTTGGAAGAGCAATTATGTTTGATTTTTTAAAATACACCTGCAATTTTATTCTTGGGGGAAAAGGTGCTGTTTTAAAAAGTGCCTAGTTGTGAGAAAGAAGAATAAATCTGATGCTTGTTTGTCATATGATATTACAAAAATGTAAAAAGGACAATCAAGCCATTGCCTTTGGAGTAGGGGCAAGAACAAGTGACTGCCACATCTAGGAGTCATATTCACCCGGAGCACTTGTTAGATATCATCTCTTTATAAAAGTAAAGGCAGCTCACAAATGGATATATGTTAATAAGTAGAATGACCTGGATAAAAGCATATTGGAAGCTCAGAAAAGCTCCAACTCTAACAGTAGTTGAGAATGAAAAGTATATATGTGCCAAGGGAGAAAAATGATAAAAAGAACAGAAAAATCAGACATATTAGATTAAATATGCAGAAAGACTGAATCTCAATAACTTTGGAAGATTCACCTAAAAGGAAAAGAGCAACAAAACAGGTATTTTTTTTAATAATCAAATGTACAATAAAGTTTAACAGAATACTTATTTATGAGACATAAGACACGGATAAAACATCACTTGAAAATTAACCTTAAGTCTTTGCTTTAGTAGAAAGCTGGCCAAGAACCCTTGTATTGTACCCCACACTTAGCTCCCCAAGCTATAAGTGCATGAAGCATCCTCTCATTAGATACTTCCAAAATGCCTGGTATGATTAAAGAATTTGATGATGTTCTTTGGAAGTCTTGATAGGGGGAAATGTATTTGCTAATGTTAGTCAATAATAAATGGATTAGAAAACCAGTCCTAATGTAACAAGAAATTGGGTGTAAAAGTCAAAATTTATGGCTCACATAATAAGTTCCTGTCTAGTGAGTAAATTTCTCCAGGGTTTACCTCATACTGTGTTTTAGGAGGAGCAATAGGCATAGACATTAACTTTCAGACCACAGGATATTACAGTAGACTAAAACTCACACGCACTTTTTATAATATACAGGCCCTAGAGCATAGAGATCAGTCTTGTGCATCATTTTTCCTGGCACTATGATTCTAGTGCCTTCCATTCATGCTCTCTGGCCAGACACCTCCTACCCTGAAGGAGTTAACATGATGCTAACAGTACTAAGTGATTTAGCTAAGTGAAAAAAGAGCAGTACTGGGGGGAAAAGTGACTGATCTAGTGAAAAGTTTCTTTAAATGATTCCTGCACATAAGAAAATTTCTAACTCATACCTGAAGAATTGGCTTGACTTTTGGCTATTCCCACATGGTCTGGTCTTCTCCCACTGATGCTCCGAAGTAAATCTCCATCTAAGCCAGTGGCCTGGATCTTCATCTTCTTTTAAGGAAAATCCCCATTAGGTGCATTTGACAATTTTTTTTTAAAGATTTTATTTATTTATTTGACAGAAAGAGATCACAAGTAGGCAGAGAGGCAGGCAGAGAGAGAGGAGGAAGCAGGCTCCCTGCTCCCTGCTGAGCAGAGAGCCCGACTGGGTCTTGATCCTAGAACCCTGGGATCATGACCTGAGCTGAAGGCAGAGGCTTTAACCCACTGAGCCACCCAGGCGCCCCTTGACAAATTTTTCTATATGAAATTACATTGCCAAACCAAATAACAAAAGGAATTTTAAAGTGGGTGTGTGTGTGAGAGAAGCATAAAATTTCTTTTGATCAGGAGTGTTCATAACACAACTAACCTGTTATTGTAGACAGAATACAAATGCTCAATGAACTACAATACTTCTGTTGATTTTTGCCCTCTGCCTTTTTTTGAAAAGATTTTATTTATTTGACACAGAGAGAGATCACAAGTAGGCAGAGAAGCAGGGGAAAGCAGGGAGCCCAATGTGGGGCTTGATCTCAGGACCCTGAGACCATGACCTGAGCCAAAGACAAAGGCTTAACCCACTGAGCCACAGAAGGCCCTCTGCCTTCTGTGGATCTGTATTTGAGAGGTTGAATAGGACCTGGGTTTAAATATACATTTCTGTCACATGTGTTCTGTGTTTATACCATAAAGCTAGAGTATAACTCTACACTTAAGCAATTTTTGTTCCCTCATGTGCAAAAAACCCTATCATTTCTTTATTGTACATTAGGTAGGTTAGGATAGCAGTGAAGATTAGTATTTTATGACATGTAAGCAGCTGAATGTTCTCAGTCCAATATAAACCAACAGATACATAATTGATTCCTTATGGTATTTACTAGTTACATGGAAATTCAACAGATACGTGTATTTATAAATACACCAATAGACGAATAGAAACATATATGTTCTCAAGTGGATAATTATGACTATATGTCTTATTGGGTTTTGGCTTGGTGTGACAAAGGACATTTACATTTTTACTGAAAAGTTTATTCAGACTTACAGTTGTGTCAAATGAAAAAATAAGTACATTTCATGTTAAAATTAAACCTATCTTAGGTGGTGTAATGCATTTGCCGATTGTGACCCTATGCCCGAACAGGACTATAAATTCACACTGTGCCTGTGATTGATTTGGGATTTGGTTTTCTGATCTGGCAGAGAGATGTGTAAAAACCTCAAGTAGTCAACAGCTCCCTATTGGCTGTGCATCTGAGGGACTCGAGAGCATTGTTTATTCCAGCAAGTGTCTGGAATACATTATACTCAATAAATTGGCTCCTGTTACTCCCGTTTTGGAGAATATGAAGAATTTGTATACTGCACAAAAATAAGTGTACTTTGGCCAAATAACAACTTTCCTTAATAGAAAATTCTGAATATGACTTTATCTTCTGAATCTAGTACTGCCAATATTTTAAACACATGGCACTTCCTAAAGAGCAATAATGAAATAATTCTCCCCACCTTCAAATTCAGAAACTGGTTCAAAGTTTAGATCTGTTTTCATCCAAAGACCATATGAATCTAGGTTTTGAGAAGTTAAACAAAATAATATGGTCGGATATTTGGGCTGGGAGCTGCCATTTATATATATATACATATATATATTTTATATATATATGTATATATATAAAATATATATATGTATATATATATATTTTTTTAAGGAAATTTTAGGATCAGGGATCAAAGGACTGTATTAACCCATAAAATTTTTAGATTATATGTTACTTCTAAGTTATAGAGACTGACTTTTTAAATATGATTTTCAAATAAATACTATACCTGTAGTCTTTGACAAAAGAAACTTTCATTGCTTTTGGTGAGTTCATAGCAGACACTTGTATTTGGAAGTTTGTGGTTATTGTTGCTTTAAAAGACTCTGGATTTGCTTTTTTATATTATAAAAAAATTTTTATGTCATAATGGGTGGAAAGGATAAGCAATGGATTCCAAAAGGCAAAGCCATCCTCATCAATTTGCCAATTTGGTTAATATTTTTATTAAGACAAGATATTGGGGTTATTAGGTTAACAAACTTTATCAGCGCACTGACTTCTACAAGAAGTCTTCTCACCTGATATATATGGTCTATTTTGGAAAGTTTCAGGGTCTGCATCCACATAAACACCCAGCAGTTTAGGACCAAACATGTTTCTACTTATTTCCTGTGTGTTGGTCTTATCTCAGAATCTATAACCTATGGTCTTTGAAGGTGAAGGATTCTGACTCTTAACTTCATGGTATTTAGTACAAGTCAACAGACACTTGACTGATAGAAACAACAGGAAAGCATGTGACTCTAGATGAGTTTGAAGAGTATGCACAATTATATTTGTATTCATGCCATGCTTTATACTTTCCGAGGGCCTTTTGCCTACATGATCTCATTTGATGTGAATAACTGAGTGAGGAAGGGGAAGGCATTTTATTTGAGAGGGAGAGAGAACTGCAAACATTTTAAAGCTCACTGAGAAGCCTGAGTCCTTATAAGAGCAAATCATCAAAGTATTTGCATATCTTTCACTGCTTGTGATTGGATTCCCCTACTCAAGTAAGCGGAAGTTCCCAAAGAAGGAGTATCTCGGGTTACAGGCCTGTGATGGATGCTTCATCCAAAGCCGAAATACTTCACAGGTTGAATCCAGGTTGGCTCCAGCCCTCATTAACTCACAGATACAGAGGGATTTTGAGGTTACAGAAACTTCACCCTACTCTCCCAAAGGGTTCTGTGATGCAACAAAGGCAAAAGAAAAAAAAAAAAAAAAAAAAGGAAAGAAAGGAAGAAAGAAAGAAAAAATTAGTAGAAAGGGCCAGATGGGACATTTAGTCCCAGCTGAACGATTTGGGGGTAATCCAGTTACTACTCTTTGTCTCAGTTTCCTTAAGTTAAGAGTACATCCCTTTAAGACCACTTATAAAATTATTTGAATCCCAGATGTCTGAGTAAGTTTCAGTCTGACTGCTTATCCCTTTAAATCCTCCCCACCCCAGCAGGGGGAAAAAAAAAAAAACAACACCATGTCACTCCTCCTGTCCTCCCTTAAGGTCCACCTCGAGCACACCTAACTCCCCCATGTTGACAGACCAACCCCCACCACCTTCTCCCTCAGTTTAAACACTGCAAGGGCTGAGGAGTCCTAGACACTCCGCGGGGCGTGGGCAGCAGGCCCAGGCTCCGGCTCGGGTGCGGAGGGGAGTCGGGGCACAGCGAGGGGGCTGGGGACCGAGAAGGGGGTACTGGGAAGACGGGGGGTGCTGGGAAGAGGGTTGCCCTCGCCAGCGCCGGCCCTGCTGTCGTTGCGCACTCGGAGCCGCGCAAAGGGCGCCCCTCAAACACGACGCACAGGCGCATTTAAGAAGGAAAGAAAGAAAAAAGCCACCGCTGGCTCGAATTTCTGGAAGCCAGAGCAGTTTTTGCCCTAAACACAGAGACAGAACCCCTCTTAGCGCTGCCCTGGCCTCTCCGTTACCCATTTTCGGTTTGGTTTTTGGAAGAACCGGTTCCTCAGCCCCTCGTCGCCGCAGTTGTGACACGAGTAAGTCCAGCCGCCGGGGACCCTGTCGCCGGTCACCCTCCCCTCGCGCGCTCTCTTCCCACCTTCGGCACCCGCGGCGGCGCTCCGGCCCCTGCCCGGGCTGCCCGGCCGCTTTGGCCTCCAGGCGGATCTCAGTGACGAAGAGACTTTGTTGTGAAACTAAAGCTGACCCTTTGGCTCCCAGGCAGCGGCCGAGAGCCCGGAGCCACTGCCGCCCGCGGCCCCACCCGGGGCGGGAAGGCGGCGATCGGTGCTCGGGAAGAGGCAGAGGGGGCGCAGACACCAAGGGGCCCTGATCCCCGGGCGAGCGCGCGCGTCTCCCGCACCCCAGCCCGCCCGCCGCCTCCAAGGTGCGGGCACCGCCGCCAGTCACGCGAGGACTCCTGGAAGGGCGCGGCGGCGCGCGCAATAATGGGGACGCGCGTCGCCCCTTTGCCTGGCAGCCTTAGGGCGCCCGCTGCACGTGGAGGGATGTGTCTCGGCCGGTTTGTTTTCCTTCCGGGAGGTGGTGACTGATTGGGACGTCGGGGGACGGGGGAGGGGGAGAGCGGTCATCTTGGCCCTATTTGATGTGATTGCTGTCTTGGATGTGTGCTTGAGCTCGAAGCCCCAGTAATGGGAAACATTTGGGGGAGCAGTCATGGCAAGTAGATATTTATATTTAGCGCTTTCTAGCCCCTGGAGTTCCTTAATTTGGCCGAAAGTGAGTTGGTTGGTCCAAATCAAGGAGGCCAGTTAAAAGTAGTAGCAGATGACTTAGAGAGGCCAACTATGGTGACACATCTAGGAATAAGTAAAAAAGCAAGGACAAACAAACAAGATCTCTGCTTTACCTTTGGTGAGGTTAGGGGGAGGTAGGAATAATGCATACAGTATAAATACTTTTTTATCGTTTTGTTAAGACCCACCCAACATTTTTGTTCTGGTGGCCACGCTGGTGAATGCGAGCTCTGTAAATCATTTCATAAAACTCAAAACCTCTTGATAAAAAAGGGGGGGGGTGAGAGGAGGATTCAAACCTGTAAAGAAGTGTGAATTAATTACATGTTCCAAAAAAAAAAAAAATCAGCAAGTATCTACTGAGCAAACAAAATGTCAGCTATGAGTGAGAAGTGGAGGAATAATGTAGAGGCAGGATGTCCAAGTAGAACAAGGAAGGCATTCTTCCATCCTGTGCAGAGACCCCCAGTGTCCTGTGTCTCAAGCTCTGAACTGTTCATTCAGCAGTTCAGGGAAAGGGGCCATGTACCAAGCATCTTGTTGCATGGATAAAAATGGTTTCTGCCCTGAAGCAGCAGCATGGTGGACAATTGTGACCTAATGTGACTAGTACTCTGCTGGGGGAAATCATAGGTGTAGAAGGCTTCCTGGAGGAGAGGACTGGATGAGCCCTGAAAGCTATGTAGGAGACTGGGTGAAAGGTACATCCTCCAGGCAGAGATCTGTTGCCATCAGAAGCATCTAAAAGTAGCCAGGAGCAGCTGCAGGTGAGCAGGAGGGACCTCGGTTGCAGGAAAGATGCACAGAGATGGTAGCTGGGGCCAGACTGGGAAAGACTTGGATGTCAGACCCATCAGACTAAATCAGACTTGTTCCCCGTTTTGGGAGAGAGTACAGTCTAACAAGTTTCACAATTTGGAACATGTAAATACTTGGAGAGCAGGCAGAGGAGTAATTAAGATAATTAAGATAAATTACAAAATAGGAACTATGAAAAAAATCTATTAGTGGAATTATTTCCCCTATAAAAAAGTGGAAGAGTTCACAAAAGGTAATCAAAGAGAGGGTAAAGAGAGGGAGCACTACAATAACAATACAGTTTTACTAATCGTCTATTTAGTAACCTGAAAGGCAGCTTCTAAAAGTGTCTAATTAAGCAGTTGACTTCTAATTTTTGGATATAATTTTTGGATATAAAAACTAGAGACAATTAAGCATATTGGATAATGACCTTTCATAATTTTATGACCTTTGATCCTTTACAAAAGGCTTATCCTCTGCTCACCATAAATTTACTGAACATGTACTATGTGTAAAATACAATAATCTCTCTGTCCTATTGGGTGATATTAATATCATTGTATAAATGAAGAAACAGGCTCAGAAAGGTTAATTTTTCCAGGATCACAGAGTTGATAAATGTCAGAGTTACCAACTGCAACCCTTACCCTCCTACCATGATCCTCCAGTAGACTTTCTCACCCTTTGATTCATCAGGACTAGCTCTGTTTTTTGGCTTTCTCCTCTTTATCATTTCTATTAGTGACTTTATTTTTTTTAATATTTTATTTATTTATTAGAGAGAGAGAGAAAGAGAGAGAAAGTAGGCGCAGAGAGAGATTAAGAGAGAGAGAAAAGCAGACTCTCCCCTGACCAGGGAGCCCCATGCGGGCCTCAAACCCAGTACCCTAGAATCATGAGCTGACTGCAGACACTTAATTGACTGAGCCACCCAGGCGCCCCATTATCAGTGACTTTAAAGTAGAAAGCTAAAGTAGTGGTTTTTAGGTTGGCGTATTACACAAAGCTGGAATGGTTACATTAGTCATTTCTTGCAGAATCCTGAGTCAAAGAGAATCTGAGTGAGCTTGATTGACAGGCGAAACTAACGCAATGAGAATTTCACAAGGATGAGTCAGTTCCTCAAATATAGAAGGATTGGGACTTGAAAATAGGTCATTTGCAGAATAGTTTGAGTGTCCTGAACTCAGTCAATGCCAGTGGTATTGGGATCCAGGGCCCACTGGCTGACAGACATGTCCTGTGGAGGGAAATCAGAAAGTTAACCCATTTTTGAAAGGACCTTTTGGGCCTAGAAAGGAGAGCCCTAAGAGGGATATTATTCATCTTAAATATTTCAAGAACGACTTTACATATATAGGATGTATAGGAAGTATATATAGAATAGTATAGGAAGGTATTGAAGTGTATTTGTATCACTGCAGAAGAAAAACTGATGTTAGAGAAGGGGCTTTGATGGGTCTGTTTCAGCTCATTCTAAGAGAAAATGTCCTCGAAGTTAAACCCTCCAGCTGTGGACCAAATGACTGCCAAACTGGTGGATCTCTGTCCCCAGAAGTGTTCCTGTAGAAGCAGCCTGACTATCTGGAAAGGACGTTTTCGTTGATTCCCACTCTAGATGGGAACTTGGATTCCACACCTTCCTTCTGCGGTCCCATCACAGCATCTCATACCACCTGTATCCCAGTACGCATGTCACTTGTTAATTGTTTGCTTGTGGAATTGAGGGGAGGCAGATTCCTGAAATGTCTCTAATGTTGAACTAATGGAAGTTTTCCTTTGATTTTAAGGAAAGAGTGAAATTCACGAAACCCTGAATCAGTGCCTCTTTTCTGACAGCTTAGGGCTTTCTCCATTACTGTCTTTGTTTTTGGTGTTTTGGCCTCTGAGATTGCAGTCCTGACTCTGGTCAAGAAGCAAGTAAAAGTAAGAGTCAGCATCCAGGAAATGAGGAAATTGCTTTGCTAAGCTTTAGCTGTGACTGTCAAGGGTAAAGGAGTATTGTTGGAGCAGAGCAGGGAGGTGTTTTTTCTCTAGTTTCTCCTAAACTGGCATATGTAATATGCATTAATTCCAAGGTCTAACGATGAACTTGGATCCCCTGTACTAAATATGTTACCTAATGGGCTGGATAGTGATATAGATGCCTATATCCATGGCTAAAATTGCCTTTGAATTTTAGCAGAAATGGCATAAGAGTCTGAGAAATAAATCTTTCCATATATTTTTTAGAAATAAACCTGCTTTTTAATTTTGACAGCTGAACTTTTTTTGTAGGCTAAGCACAGACCAAGTGCTTAATGAATCTGACCCACGGTATTACTGAAAACCTGACCACCATTCCACATTCTAATTTGTCTTAAAAAATTAAAACCTTCAGGATCACATCAATTATTGACATGCCGATTGAACCTTACTATTAAAGAACATTGTATACTTTTTTTAATCCTCACCCCTTAAACCATCTCCTTAAAGGAGATGTCTTAAAGCCCCTTTTTGCTCTGATACCTAAGAATGAACATTATTAATTGTTGGACCCATATGGTTTACTCAGGTAGGAGTGAATGTCAGCTGCATTAGAGAGGAGTGTTGGTGGATAAATGGCTAGACAAAGATCAACACTAACATCGTCAGATTTGATTTGGAGGGGCAAGGACAATTATATTAGCAAAATGTTACTTTCATAATGGTACTGGGAAAAAAAAAAGAGGTTAACAACTAATAAGAAATGTGAATTGTGGCACTTAAAAAAAATCAACTTTATTAGTTCAGTGAGTTTTGATCATTATGTTCACCTATGTCACCACCACAATCAAGATCCAGCACTTCTAGTGCCCCAGAAAGTTCCTTTATACCCCTCTACTGTTCATCAACCACTCTCCACCCCCATCCTGGGCTCTGGTTCCAGGCAACCACTATCTGCTTTCCATCCCTATCGGTGAGTTTTTATGGTGTATTTTTAACATCTTAGGAGGTATCCAATGGTAGATCTTTCTACATGAAAGTAAAGGAGTTGATGTTTCATATCTCCTCTTTGTCTTTTGAATAAAGAGAGAAAATTCGTCACTTAGTTATAGCCATTTACTTAGACACCGAATAACATAGTCACTGAATGGTACCAGTGCAGTTTGCTACTAGTTATTCTAGACTTTGTTATTTTAAAACTGAACCTATAGTCTCTGTAGGCTGAGAAACTATTTCTATGGTACATTGTATCATAAACTACACCTGTAGTGGACTGATAGTACCTACAACCAGCAGATGCAGCAGAACTAATATACCGGCCTCGTGAAATTTTAGATACTTTTCTCATTTGCGTATTATATTTTAGGTTACTTTCCCCTGGATGCCTGCATTTGTTCATTACGTATGAGATTTATAGGCCCATGATTCTCAAGCAACATGCTACCACACAAACCACTGTTCCTCAAATCCCGCATGCGTGTTCCACCAATCATAATTAATGGGCAACATTTATTGTTTCTATGCTTGCATATAAGGTATTTTATTAACATGGCTGTCAGACTCAACCAACTGAGTCCTGTGGCATGGTGATTTACCTTGCTGAAAGACAGGAGAAAGTGATCAGGATGGTAATGAAAGAGCAGATGTTTATTGGAAAGAGGTTTGACTTTTCATCTTGAGTCCATGAGAGCAAGGTTGAGTGAAAGAAAGAGCAAGTGAGCCATGTGTGATAACCATGCATCCCATCGGCACGGTGATGGTGCACATCAACGATTTAAGGCTCTCAAATGTCCAATCATGGTCTTTAGTATTCAAAAGTTCTTCCATGAACAAAAAAATTTAGTAACCTTTGATATAGGGAGATTCATGAATGCTGTCAAGATCTTAGGTTCTGTGGTGGTCATTTCATTGGAATATTCTTAAGATAGGACTCTCATGTTTCATCCTTCTACTAGGGTCAGTGTTGTATGGAAGAGAGATCTGAATAAGTGAATTTGACCTCTCTTACTAGTTTTGACTATCTTACCTTTTGATCCTCTAATTGCAGTTTGGAATTTATCCTCAAGGCA